TTTTTTTTTTTTTTCAATTTCTATTATTGGTTTTGTTGTTGCCGCTGTTGTTAGTTCTTTTTAACTTTTGTTGATTAACTGGCATTACTTAAATTGATCAATTTTTTCCAATCGATTATTTGGACAGTTTACTACAATCTTTTTTTTTTTTTTTATTCAGATTTTGTTGTTAATAAACGGTTACAATAGCAGTTTGTAAATGCAACTTTAATACTGTAAAATTCTGTGCTGCTACTGTAAAATTTTTGGCAGCAATAGCAGATTAAAATCTTTTGAAAAGGTAATAATGTTAAAGTTTTATGGCTAATTATGGAGCTGTAGTTTGGAATTTGTGTAAAAATGTTATTTGTCTATTTGTTTTGCATTTTTTATTTATTTATTTTTCTTGTTTCTGAAGTTACTTTGATGGTTAATGAAGGTAAAAGGAGAACGTCGTATATGACGCTGCAGAATAGCGTTTATTTATTTATTTTTTCTTTTCTTTTGTACTTTATTTATTTGTTTGTTTCTTACATTTTACCCTTTAGTTATTCATTCCATTAAAAAGTACTGATTTATTTTTTTCAATTGTATTTTATTCGTACATGAAATTTAGGCCAAATAAGATACAACCCGTTTGAGTTTTGTTTGATTTATTAAAAAATGGATGACTGTTTTTTTTTTTGTTTTTACAGTACGCCGTATTACATATGTTTCTTAATGACTTTTTTTGTGAAACAGTTTGATGGAATTATTTTTTATTCCATTTCTTGGCACTTTTTTCGCGTTAAATTGTTTTTTCAATTTGTCTTTTTTTTATTGAAAGAAGTTGGATGTTAGCAGTTGGAAGAAAGCCTGTTACAATTTGGTGCTTTTAAAGATTAAACAGATTTAGTGACTGAAAGGATCGCCAATCTACGGTTTTATACGACATTTAACCGCACTAGGAGTCTTTTATATATCGTTGCTGTATTAAATTTATAGTGAAAGAGGCGACTGATTTTAGAAAGACTTGTACAGAAGGATAAATATAGCGAAAAAGTTACATTGTATCAAGATAGTTTTGGTTTATATGCATGTTTGCGAAGAGGCAGAATGGCGAAGAAGACCTTGAGAGATTTTTTGTTTTTTTTTTTTTTTTCTTGCTGTTTTGAGTATTTCTAACGTCTTTTTTCAAAAGAGGAAAAAGACGTTGAAAATCTTACCAATTTTCATTTCCTTAACTGTGCAAAAGAGAAGGATGAAAGGAGAAGTTGAGATTATTCTTTACCAGCAACAGTTCATAACTGTGTTTTATCATATATCACCAGTTGATAGTTATATGTATTCGAATAAAATGCAGATATAATGATTATGACATTATGCGATAGGCATTTTACAACTTTCTTGGTAATATTTCTTTTTTTGATGTTTGTTAGTGAATTTTCCAGCTTGATTTTAACACTTATTTATTTTGAAAAATTGGTTTATTGTCATTGCAAAACTAATCTAATTTTTTCACCTATCTTGTATGGGTACCAAATTTTTTTGGTACAACAGTTGAAATTTAGAAATTTTACGGAATTATTCATGGTAGATTTATCCCAATGAATAATGAACAATTGATTACTTTCTCAGTTATACGACCCTGAAATTTTTTGCACGCGCATTTGACCCAAAACAATTTTGTAGCCCCTATACAGTTGCTGATTAACTGGTCGTCTTTTCAGAAGGATAAATTAAGGGAAAGGAATAGAAGTTTGGTTTATCATAGTTAAACAGTCAGCTAATATTTGGTATGGGATCAATCACCGCACAACAGCTAATCGAATTTGTTCTCTGTATATTTTTGCCGGTATGTTATTGATGAATATTTTTTGTTAAAATCTGTAAAATAACTGAAGTTTTAAGGTAACGGTTGAGAGGAATAAAAATTATTTTAAAATACTGAGGAATAAATTAGGCCAAATGAGCAAATAGTTATTAATGAAAATACTGAAGTGTTAAAAATGTATTGCAGCCATTGGCGATATTTATCCATGACAGTGAGCTGAACATTCATGTGCTAATCACATTTGTACTGATATTCTTCTTCTGGCTTCCTGCAGTCATCTATGGGTTATGGTACTGCTTCTTCCGTGCTTAACTGGCTACTCGAGCAAATTACATCTCTGTAACGCTTATGGATTGGTCATTGCTGTCCCAAGGTTTTAGATGTTCAAATATATTTGCTACATATATTTGTGCAACTAAGGATCACATCTAAATACAAGCGTTTTTTTCTTCTCATTTTTCCTGTCCTATTTTCCCCAACTTTTCTTGATTGTCTACTGTTATCAATGGAAACAACAGTGAAGAGGATGAATGAGATACGGTAAAGAGAGTATGAGTAATAATAATTGATAACTTTTACTTACCAAAAAAATTTACTGTTGTTTCAAGGGTTTTTGAATAAACATTTTTTCTTGGTTTTTTTTTCTCCAAAAGAAAAAAGAACAAAAAGAAATTTTTTGTTAATTCTTGCCATTGTATAAAATCTTGGTATGAAAATATGGTTTGACGTATTATTAACAATATTATGATTAGTTGTTCGATCGATGATCATTCGTTTTCTTTTGATAAATCTGAAGTGATTTTGTTGAACAGTGGACCGACTTCATGAATAACTGGAAGCTTTTTGCTTGTTTCACAAATAAATTATTGTCGACTAAATGAAAAACTTTTGTTTTTTTTTTTTTTAATTCAAATTTTATTTTTCACTGCCTCAATTTCTATTTTCGGATTTCAATGACTGTAGTTGTTGAATGAAAATTAAAAAAAAAAAATTTAGACTTTTTGTACCTCATGTTGTTGTTTGTGCGCATATCCAAACTACTTCACAGCAGTTAAGAGGAAGTTTTAGAGTCAAACGAAAAAAGAAAAATAGAGGATCAAAAAGCATCAAATGTATTGTTCGCTTTGCAGTCAGTGCCAATCCTCTAACAAAGAGTGAGTCCTATTGAAATTGAAGGGGAAGAGGAGTCGGCATCAACAACACTTGCAAACCGTTGCTGCTCAACGACGGTATACAATGAAGAAGTTTTTGTACCGACTGAGAAAAAAAGATTGAAGGAGTGCTGCTGTTGTTGGTTGACTACCGAGCACTACCAGCCATGCCGTTCATGTGATTTTGAGTTTCCCAGAGGTTATCTAGTTTTTCGTTTGGAAAGGTCAGATGACAACGGAGAGTTGTTGATTTCGCAAAGGATTTACTGTTCAATAGACAGAAAACACGACTCTTCGGCTCGTTTGCTTTCTCGCTTTCGTCGTTTTAATGGTAACGGTAAACAGAAGTGGTTTTTATTTGATGTGCCTTTTCAGGTTCTTCTGTGACCAGTAGGCTAAGTGGTGTAAATGTCATTCAGTATTTCACATCTGGGGGTTCAAAACGTTATAGATTTAACTGGGTTCCATAAGACCCTGTCATGAGAACCATTCTCATGATGGCAGCAAGCTTTTCTTATCAATTCAATCGCGTTCAGGACTTTCCCAGAGATACTGGCTTGTTGGGTATCACACAGATATGGCAATTTATGCCGTCGTCTATAGCCGACCGTAGAATTTTTCAAGAAGTAACTACAAAATTTTTCTTTACTTCAGTTAATCTGTTCAGAAGGCTACAGCATAAAAGGAAGGAAGTTTCTTATGCATAGTTTTATGTTCCTGTAAAAGTTTAGTAAAAACCTTTCACTTTTGGTTGGTACTTCTGACTTCTTGAGCGCTGCCTGTGGGTAAAGGGATCCGATGACGGTTATCGAGACGATTATATACTTCTTGGGGAAAATTTTAGTGTCAGGAACAACTTAGACATAGAAAGCAACCCTTTTTCGCTGTAAGGTTAGCCCAAACTGGCAATGACTGTATAGTGTAAGAAAGGCCTGGTATATATTAATAATTGCCTTTTACAGCACAGTGGTGATTTCTTAAGTATAATTTGTAGCTGTTATTTACCGGAAAAATTACAGCGTACTCAATCAACTCCCGGTGCCTTCATCTTAACAGTCCTTGTTTCTGATCTTGAAGAAAGCAGCAGTTGTATTTACCAAATGTTCTGTACTGTTTTTTGTGCTTGAAAGATGCTCTTTTTCAAGAAATTATTTTGTTCAAATGTTATTATCGCTGATTTGTACATTTCCAGCTTGTATCAAACGTAACTCTATGGCCTATAATATAATTCCAGTAGAATAGGGAAGTCTTTCGAAAACTTATGTTCGGCTACCTTAAATTTCTACCTT